AGACCAGACAAATAACAAGCGGGACTGACCAACAACACTGAATTGGAGGTGCACTGATGATGTTACCTACTATGGTGAAGAAATGTCTTCAAACTAAGCTACCACTTCGGTGAACAAGTCAACAACCTCATATTCTGGTGTCTTACCAGGTCAGCCTTGATTGATCATTTGGGAAGTGGTTACCAAGATTATCATTGAACTCACCCAAAATTTAAGCTTTCAAACATAACATTGCTACAACAGTCATCAGCAGTTGGAACCCCCAAATGATTTTCCCTCTTCTAGCTGAAGCAGTTTGGCCAGTTTTTCATTCCTAACACCACGCTTGTTGGGATCAGCTAACTCAGCAGAGCCCCTGGGAAAGGTTTGGCTCTGATACTCTGAAATTCTGGGGCACAGGGATGGATTTATTATTGTCTGCCAATTGGGAATGAATATTGAAACTTTGTACAACTGTGTGTTTATAAAAGTTTGGGAGTTTTTTTAATATTTCATGCTGACATTGCTGGCAAGGTCAACATTTGTTCCTCATCCCTAATTTCCCTTGAACTGAGTAGCTTGCTAGGCCATTTCAAAGAAGAATGAATTACAGTGCCATTGGACTGGAGCCATATGTTGGCCATTCCAGGTAAGCATGGCAGATTTCCTTCCCCAAAACAGTGAAACATGGGCTTTTAATTACAGTCAATAATAGTTGTTACAGTCACTATTACTGAGTAGTTTTGAACATTGGTCTGGCCTGTGGATTACTAGTTCAGTGATATTAGACTATACCACCACTTCTCTCCCCGCCACCCCACACACACATACACAGGATCTTTACTCCTTTATGGTAGGGTGTGGAAGTGTTACAATCTAAAATCAGAAAAGACACCAGCCAACCTAGCTAAATCATTGAATGTTTGAGATAAAGTCTCACCACTAGTGGTCTGAGAACCAATTCTTGTCAGATTAGTGATAACAAGGTGTAGAGCTGGATGAACACAGCAGGCCGAGCAGGAAGGCTGACGTTTCAGGCCTAGACCCTTCTTGGCAGAGCCAGGTCTATATGCAAGTCCAGTTATTTGATAATCACTTTGCCCTGGATATTGAAACCTATGACCACAACAAAATGGCTTACGTGCTGCTGCCCCTGACTGCTCACTTTGGCCCTGGAGATAGAAAGCAAGATCAAAGGAAGGGCAGGACATGGTGCCAGCCTGCATTAATAGGACACGAATGAGTAAGCAGGAGGTCAGTACTATGTAGACCATAAACGAGATGCTGTAGAAAGATTTACTCAGACTTCAGAACACTACACCACAGGCAGGATATATGACCTTCAGATTGTGGTGAATCTGCTCTGCACTATGATACTAGCACAAAGAGGTTAAAATTTGAGGACAGGTTTTGTAAATGTGGATTGTGCTCCCTTGAATTTATATGGTGACAAGTGATCTAATTGAATTCAAAATGTTAAAAGGATGTTTTTCTGCCCGAAAGCAGGTTTGACCCACAATGTCCAATCTCTGCCATGAGTGGAGGAAGGAGGCAAGTCCTGAATCCACCCCCATCAGAACAGGAATCAAACCTCAAGCCACTAGCACACCAGCCATCCAGCAATCTGAGCAGACTGGCTCCCCAAGGAGTCAGAGCAGCTATGGTCAGGTGTACATTCACATGTTGCAGTCTGGAGCTATGGACTACCATGGTTGAGGCTCCAATTTCGTTCCATCCTGTGACTGACCAGGTGCATCTCCCAGTCTTATTGCCCACCATTGGGCATGTGTTGGAAGGATTCGTAGGTTGATATCCAACCTGTTTGGCCACATTGTGGACACCCCTTCCTTGACCGTCTAATCCTGGGGTGGAACACAAACCAGCAGCTTCTGGTTCAGGCAGGGACATTACCGATTGCCCACAAGACTGCCAGGGATTCCATGGAGTCGATCAGGAGAAACTGTTCCTCTTGGAGTCAAGAAAAAGAGGCAGTTACATTGAAATGAGAGCTCTACTTCATTTAGGAGTGAAACCAGGGAGTACATTAGCATGATTAGAGTGTGGAAACCTGGAGGTCATCCCTCCAAAAAGATAAATTGACATTGGAGGAGAAAGATTCCTTTCGTGTTTAAAATATTCAAATGAAATAAGTTTGTTGAGTTAAGATCCAAATCAGGCATGTTCTAATTGAGATTGTTGAGCCATTCAATCAATAGAATCGCTGCTTCCTGCTCTGAAGCCACCAAGCTGTCCTAACCCCTAACTCTCTTCCTCTCCAAACTGTCTGTGGCTGAATCAGACTATTTGCAATATTTCTTTCCTCATCCTCTCCTTTCCGATTGCACAGTCCTCATGATTGTCCTCCTCCCTCCTGTGATTGTCACCAGTCTAGCTCAGGCTTGGCAGCATCTGTGGGGGAAAAAGCAGAGTTAATGTTTCAATTCCAGTGACTCTTCTTCAGAACCATGTTGTATTTTTGTATCAGAACTCCAGCATCTGCAGTGCTTTATTTTATGTTAATGTACCTGCTGAGCTCTGAGTGTTGTGTGTGTGGAGGGGGTATGTAGTGATTCTGGAGTGATGGTAGTTGAAGAGTATAATGTTGGAGGGGATGAAGTATATAGGGACAAGGAGGGGGAGGGACCTGGGATATATGGGAGAGGATGCAGCACATAGGAAGGATGGGGGTACGTGAGGGATGGAGATGTGGATACAGGAAGGTTGGGGGTATATACGTGTGATGACGGTATATGAGGGATAGGGATGTATATGCCGAGTTGGGGGTATATGTGGCAAGTGGGTATATAAGGGCTGGAGATGAGGGATGTGGAAGGAGATTCTGTGTGGGAAGACGGAGGGGTAAATGAGTGATGGGGAATATGTAAAGGGGTAAATGAAATGCAGTCATGGGGGTGGGGGTCTGTCTTCCTCACCCCTCCTACGACTACCGGTGATTGTCACCAGTCTAGGCAACAAGTCAGTCATTTGCCTTTTGTTTTTATTGTCATTCCCGCTCTGGTGCTGATTCAAAATCCTGCAGTCCCACCCTAAGGGCATGTGAGAAATTTGCCTTCAGTTAACACTAGAGGCCTGACCATCAGCTGTTCGAAGTACACGTGACTGCTTTGCAGAGCTGTGCCAGTATTAACAGAGCTCACATCCAATCCTTTTTAACCATTTTCTTTGTCTTGTATCCTAACAGCAATGAAGCCTGGCGGTTCAGCGGAGGCTTTCGTAAACCTATCACCTTCAGCAATATCTTCTTTCGAGGCTTCAAATGGGGATTTGCAGCATTTGTTGTGGCTTTGGGTGTTGAATATGCATTATTTTCTCCCAAGAAAAATGGAGGACATCACTAGTGAATGAAGACTGAAGAGCTTTGAAATTATGAAAAACTCTCAAACCTTTCCAGTCAGTGAGCTGTAACCAGTGCATGAGTCAAGAGGCAAATGTCTTTAAATAATAAAATAATTAATTGAATCAGCACGTGCTCTGTTGTGTTCCTTTTGAGTCTTTTTCGCCATTGATTTTTAGCTCCCATTGCCAGTTTTCTCCTGAAGCTGGTGACTACCCTATGCTTGTTCCAGATGTGCTTTCGTGTTGATTGTGAAGCACATGTGACATTTTCTCTGGTGCGCACACCCATGATTTATCCTTGGCCTTCTATTTCTCATTTACCTGCTGCTCCTCAGATACATCATCAAAAGATAATTCAGGTTCCACAACAAGAAGCCTTAGCATCACTTTTCTTGATGCTTCCACTGTGCTGTCATATTGCTTGTTGAATGTCCAGTATTGGATAAGGTCCAAGTACCTCTGGTGAAATATTGGGAAGCCTTGTGAGCCATTGCATCAAGGTGTCCTTAAATCACACAATGCTAGCAAGTGTTTATAGCAAGTAATTAAGAAGGCCATTGAAATGTGGGGAAGTCTTGTACAGCTATGTGTGTACAATTTTGGTCTCTTTTAAGGAATAATATTTGCATTGGAGATTGTTCAAAGAAGAATCATTAGTTTGGGGTAGTTTTTATGAGGAAAGGTGGAGTGGGTTGGACCTGTACTCTTTGGAGTTGAGAAGAATGAAAGGTGATCTTGAAATGTAAGATTCTGATGGGACTTTGGTAGTGTAAATACTAAAAGGATCTACATGGAGGGAATCTAGAACTGGGGCATAGATTAAAAATAAGGGGTCTCCCACTTAGAATGAGATGAGGAGGAATTTCTTTTCTTGGAGGCTGAGTAGTCATCTCCTTCCCAGAGAGCATCATTCAGCTCTGTGGATTAACATAACCACTTTGCTACTGTGCCTGAGACAAAAGCAGTGAAGCTTAGGCCTGGCAGCATCTGGTGGGAGAACGCGGAGTTAATGTTTCAATTCCGGTGACTGTTCTTCAGAACCAAGTTGTATTTTTGTATCAGAACTCCAGCATCTGCAGTGCTTTATTTTATGTTACTGTACCTGCTGAGCTCTCTGAGTGTTGTGTGTGGAGTGGAGCGGGTATGTAGTGATTCTGGAGTGATGGTAGTTGAAGAGTATATGTGGAGTGGTTGAGGCATACAGGGAGAGGGTGGAGGAGGAGGGAATGGAGTATATGGGAGAGGATGCAGGACATGGGGAGGGATGATGATGGTATATGAGGGATGGGGATATATAAGGGATGAGGGTATATGAGGGATGGAGATAGATGAGGATATATGAGGAATGGAGATGTGGATACGGGAAGGTTGGGGGGTATATAAGTGTGATGATGGTATATGAGGGGTGGGGATCTTTACACGAGAGATTGGGGGGGGGGATATGGGGGAAGGGGGTATATAAGGGCTGGAGATGAGGGATGTGGGAGGGGATTCTGTGTGGGAACACGGAGTTGGGGGGTTGGTAAATGAATAATGGGGAATAGGTAAAGGGGTAAATGAAATGCAGTCCTGGGGATGGGGGTCTGTCTTTACGATGCACCTGAGCTCCGGCCAGTACTCCGCCGCCAGGGGTCTGCTTTCCCCACCCCCCCCCCCGCCTGGGGTCGGGGCCAGAGAGCGGCGCTGAGCGGGAGGAAGGGGCACGGGGTTCGGGGGCCCCAGCCATAACCGTAACGTGGGGCTTTCACTTTCACTTTCTCCAAGGGAGGAGAAGAACCGGAACCAGGGACGCGGTGATCGGGGCAGGTCGGTGTGTGAGGCCCGCGATTAACCTCCACCGCAGGGAGACACCCCGGGGCCCAGGGCTGGAGGACGGGCCTGAGGCCTAGGGCCTAGGGCCTGGGGCTGGAGGACAGGCCGGGGCCGGGGCCGGGGCCGGGACCGGGACCGAGCCTGGGGTTTGGGCCGTGGCCTGGGCTGGAGGAAAGGCCGGGTGTTTGCATATCCTACTCCAGGAGGTAGATTTATAGGAGGTGAGGAGGTTTAAGTGATCTGCGTTGACGGGTTTGAACTTGTGGCAGAGCACAGAGCACGCCATAAAGTTAGAGCCAGGGGAAGGAAGTGGGTGGATGGAGTTAGAGCACGGACAGAATAGAATAGAGGGGCTGAAAGGCCTCCCCCCAGGCCTGGCAAAGCAATGTGGAGGGAATAGTTTGAGACCACACTGACAAATCCCAAAGGGATGAATGGCCTAGGATGCAAGGCATTTGGTCTTGGAGACATGTTAGCCTTCAGACTGCTTTTTCTCTAGTGACAATGTTTATTTTCAGTTTCTCCCTCTTGCCCCTTGATTTTCTGCTATTACTGGGATGCTGTCCTCAGCTGCTTCACCAGTGATCTTCTCCCCATTATAAGGTCAAAAATGGGGATGTCCGCCCATGATTGCACAATGTTTAACTCCACTTGAGATTTCTCAAATACTGATGCAGTGTATGACTAAATGCTGCAAGAACTGGGCAAGATTCAGGTATGGGATGAAAAATAGCAAATAACATTCATAATACATAAGTGCCAGGCAACAACCATTTCCAGCAAGAGAGAATCTAACCATTGCTCCTTGACATGCAATAACATCACCATCACTGACTACCCCACTACCAAATTCCTGGGTGTTACCATTGTCCAGAAACTGAACTGGATTAGTCAAGTAAGTACTGTGTCTACAAGAGCAGGTCAGAGGCTAGGAATCTTACAGTGAGCAACTTACCTCTTTATCCTCTGAAGCCTATCCACAACATACAAGGCATAAGTTCAGAGAGTGATGGAATACTCCCCACTTGCCTGGATAAGTGAAGCTCAAACTCAAGAAGCTTGACACCAACTACGACAAAGCAGCCTGCTTGATTGGCACCACATTCGCAAAATTCCACTCCCTTCACCACCAATGCTCAGCTGTAGTGTGCGCCATCTACAAGATGTACTTCAGAAGTTCACCAAGACTCCTTGGACAGCACCTACGAAACCCATAGCCACTACAATCTAGAAGGAGAAGAGCAGCAGATACATGGGAACACATCTTCTCATGTTCTCCTCCAGGCCATTTGCTGTCCTGATTTGGAAATATATTGCCATTCCTTCAATGTTGCTGGGTCTCAACCCTTGAATTTCCTCCCTTATGACATTGTGCGTCTACCTACAGGATAAGGACTACAGTGGTTCAGGAAGGCAGCTCACCACCTTCTCAAGGCAACTTGGAATGGGCAATAAACAGTGGGCCTAGCTGGTGATACCCATGCCTTGTGAATGAATAAAAGAATGCTTTCACTGTCTTCTACTATGAAGATAAATATAGAATACTTGTTATGAGGAAAGATGTTTATGATAATGGATTTAGATGTGAAGTATAGGAGGAGACTTGAATGGAGCTGTAAACATTGGCATCGCTGGTTCGACCAATTGGCCTGATTCTGCGCCATATACCCTATCTACTGTTAATTATCTTGGGAGGCTGGGGTTCACAGGATGAGGATGGTAAGCATTTGCTACGTAGGATGGGGTAACGAAGATAGTACAGAAATGGAAAATTTCAATTGCCAGAGTCTAAAATGAGTGTGTTCCAATAGAGCACAGACCATAAGGTCAGCAGTGGGGGTTCTGAACGCCCTGATTCCACACCATATGCTTCCACCATGCTTCTCCCAGCAATATAAACCAGTTGAGTAAAATCTCTCTTTATTCTCCAGGCAATGGTTTCCTTTTGAACAGAGTATCAGACCCAGGATAGGCAGACCTACGGTTTGTAGCAGGTTCATGTGTGTGATTGGCAGAGAAGGCACTGTCACAGAAGCAGTGCAATGTTTGGAGTCGATGAGCGGAATGCAGTTAAACATCAATGCCAACAAGAAGCAGGGCAGCTGCGGGTTTGTCATAGGTCCAAGGAATGAGCTGAAATCAGTAGAGATTATTATTGAGAAAGCTGTTAGTGAGTGGAGTAAGAGCAGGGATAGATTTAAAATTGTAATAGAGAGGACGAGCACACAATGAATATTGATGGAGACAAAACAAGCCTACACCAAAATGGATAAACAAGGAAAATCTAACTGTTTAAAAGCTAAGTAAAAAGAGCAAAACAGGAGTGGTATTGGGTCTCACTGGCTATAGTGACAAGGATATTACTTATGAACACAAATTATGATGAGGAGTAGGCCATTTTGCCTCTACGGCCTGCTGCAGTTTTCGATAAAATGTTGGTTGATCAGATTGTGACTTCAACCCTAGTTTCATGTCCACCCCGACAACCTTAGATTCTGGACTAACAAGGGAGTCAATCTACCTCTGCATTAAAAGTATTCAATAACCCTTTCTCACCATTCTATGGGAAGAAGACTAACTAGGGAGAGACAAGCTTTGGGAGAGGGCTAAGCATTAACTAAATCAGAGTATAGGATAATGTGGGAGAGGAAATGGCAGGGAGATTAGAGGGAGGAAGGGAGATGTGGAGAGGTGTAGGGAGTTAGCATGCATTCGATGGGACAGGGTAATGACTGAAACAAAACAACATAGAGGGAAGGGAGAAAGAGGTGGAACTGAACAATAGAAAATTCTTAAGTATTAATTAAATTTTAACTGTCTAATTTAGGACATGGTAAAGATATGTCTACACTGTCTGCATCAAACACTCCTGGGGTAGGAAAGCATGGGAGTTAGATGCACAGTAAAGTGTCCTTTATGATGTCCAATAAATATTCTGACCTATAATCAAAAATCTTAATGAAGAGTATGGAAACATTTATGTATTCTCTCAATAATGTTCTCCCCCATTGTTGCTGTCACTTGCGGGGGTCTGTGGCTCTTGTTCAGCCTGCTCTGCGTCACTCCAAGTGACCGTCATTCCTGACTGTGCCTCAACAATGTATGTCAGTCTGAAATGTGACTGACACTTTGATGAGCTAGGTCTTCTAGTCTGTTGATGCTGAGCTGCAGCCATGACTGAGAGCAGATGAGCAAGAACAACTTGAGAATGAAACCTAGGATTTTTCCCTTAAACCTGGAGTTAATTGAACAACACTTCGGTGCGTTCCAAACCAAAAATCATTAGCGATTGATTCATATTTTTCACCTTGTTTAGGTCTTCGTCAGAGTTTCGTTTTGTGTTGGAAAAGAGAAGTCAGTGGCGTCACCAGAGATGAGATTGCAGCACAACATTATTGGCTGGGGAAATCTCAGTTTCCTGTAAGGAGTCCTTGGGGCTGCTTCGTTCAAAATTCAATAATATGTTCAAGCAGTGTACTCAAGATATCAGACCACTGGCTTTGCAAATAGCTGACAAACTGTCGAAGGATGAAAGTGCCACTTTAGTGTTTTTGTGCCTTGATGTCCTCAAAGATTATTTAAGTATTGGGGAAGTGAAAGAGTTGTTTGACATCCTGTCCAAGCGGAACCTGCTGAGGATTGAGCTCCTAAATGAACTGCTTTATCGAATAAAGAGATTCGATGTTTTGAAAGGATTGAAAGTTGATGTGGAGCGTTTGCAGAGACATTTGAACAGTGGTAAAGGATATGTATCTTCGTACAGGTAAAACCAATCTCTGTGAAATGGATTAGGTTCTATGACTTGCCTGTGGTGGAAATTTGGTTTCTCCAGTTCTTACTTCCCAGATTTAGCAGGCAGCATTCTGATGCAACTGAACTAAGCTGTTTTTGGCTTTAGTCCATGACAGGGTATGATGAATAACATCTAGTAAAACAGCATTGTAGCTAATCTTATTCCCAGGCTATGGTGCTAAAATGACCTTTATATGTTTTGGCTACTCAATGTCATGCCAGGGGTGGGGGCCACAATGTTATTAACATTTTTCTATGGCGGAGCATGGGACCGGTTTGAAGGTCAGTCTGTTCGTGGGAACAGGAATCGACCATTCAGCCCCATGAGCCTTTTCTACCATTCATTTAGATCGTGGCTGATCTGTGTCTTGATGCTTTCTACTTGCCTTGGTTCCGTATTCTTTAATTCCCTTTGTTAGGTTGATCCCCAGCTTCAAAAGCCTTTTTGGAAAATGCAGTCCAGATTTCTGCTACCCTTCATGACAAGATGTGCTTCCCCTGAACAGCCCAGCTGTAATTTTAACATTCTGGATTTTCCCACCAAAGGAAATATGTTCTGTTTCTATAACTAATATAGAAATGAGTTAATTTCTATATTAACTCATAGAAATTTGGAAACTCTGGGTAGGAGTAGAGAACTCAGACCTTCTAGCTTGCATTTGCCATTCAGTATTCTCATGACAGCTTCTCTTAAAGAAGAGAAGTTTTTTTTAGATTTTAAAGGCATCGAGGTGTAAGGGGAGAAAGCAGGAAAATTGCATCCAGATAAATTCTCTTGAATATAGTCAGTGACTTGGCTTCCATAACTCTGTGGTAGAGAATTCCACAGGTTCTCTACTCTTTGTGCCCTCATCTCAGTCTTAAATTACCTATCCTGAGACTTGGTCCCTGGTTCTAGATTCTCCATAATGGGAAATTATCTTCCCTGCATCTAGTCTGTCTAGCCTTTTAGAATTTTATCTAAATTTCAAGTTTCAGTCAGCTAAGTTTAAATCAGGTCCCCTTTCATCTTTCTAAAGTCTAGTGAATACAGGCCCTGTCAAACCAATCTCTCTTCATAGGACAGTCCTGCCATCCCCTGTATCAGCCTGGTGAACTTCCACTGCACTCCCTCTATGACAAGTATATCTTTTCTCAGGTAGGGAGATCAAGACTGCATGCAATACTCCAGGTGTGTTCTTATCGAGGCCTGGTATAACTGCAGTAAGACATTTCTACTTCTGAACTCAAATCCACTTGCAATGTAGTCTAATATCGCATTTGCCTTCCTAATTGCTTGTTGTGCCTGTCTGTTTATGTTCATTGACTGGTGTACAAGAACAGCCAGAACCCTTCATATCTGCACACTTCCCAATATATCATTTAAATAATACTCTTCCTTTCTATTTTTCACACTGAAGTCTATAACTTCATATTTAGCCATATTGTACTGCATGTACTATGTGTTTACCCACTCATTCAACTTGTCTAAATCACTTTAAAGCTTCCTTGCATCATTCTCACAATTCTCAAACCCACACGCGGTTTTGTGTCATCAGCAGACTTGAAAGTGTTGCATTTAGTTTCTTCCTCTGGTAATTTATATACAGTGAATAATTGGGGCCAAGCATTGAGCCTTGAATTATCCTACTAGTCACAGCCTGTAACACAAAAAAAAATCCATATATTCCCACTCTCAATTTCCTGTCTGTCAACCAATTTCTTGATCCTTGTCAGTATGTTACGCCCTATCCCATGTGCTTTAATTTTGTCCACTAATCTTCTGAAAATCCAAATACATCACACCCACTGGTTTTGATTCCCTTACATTTCTGGGAGGTTATTTACACCCCCTTTTGTGAGGACAGAAGCAAAGAATGTATTTAATTCTTCTGTCATTTTTGTTCCCCATTATCATTTCCCTGTCCTCTGACTATAAGGAACCCACATTGTTCTTTACAAGTGTTTTTCTCTTCACATTTTTATAAAAGGTTTATGGTCAATTTCTATGTTCCCTAAAATTTTACTCAGAAACTCTATTATTCCCATCTTAAATAAACTGTTCATCCTCTTTTGCTAAATTTTAAAATGCTCTCAATCCTCAAGCTTGCTGCTTTTTTTGGCGAATTTTTGTGTCTCCTCTATGGATCTCATACTAACCCTAATTTCTTTTGTAAGCCATTGTTGACCCACATTTGTTCTATTTTTGAATGATTGTTGTATTTCAGTATTTGTTAGAATTAGGTTTTATTGTCATGTGTACTCAATTACAAGGATACAGGAGTACAGTGAAAGGTTTACAATGTCACCATTCACTGCACCATCTTAGGAGCCTAGATACAAAATCTTAGGTAAAAAGTAGAAATGTAAACAAATAAGTTAAAAATTCAGCATTACAGTTGTTGTCAGTATAAAGTAGTAAATAAAGAATAATGCTAAAAGTTGCAAATTATAGTCCTTCTTTAGTCATGAGCCTGCAGTCGCTCCACATGGGCTTTCCCCAAGAGGGTTTGATCTGTCCCTTGCACTGGGCTCAATCTCTCAATCGCTGTGCCTCCATGCTGCAGTCCTGCTGCTGACTGCTGTCCTTTCTCTCCCGCGTTGGGCTTGATCTCTCGATCTCCGTGCTGCTGTCTTGCCACCAACTACCAGGCCGCCAGAATCCCACTCAGGTGCCGCTCTAGGCCCCCAGCCGCTTCCGCGATGCCACCGACTGCCAGAGTTCTGCCCAGGCACACCAACCACCTCGTGGCAGACTACCATAGTCTCCTGCTGCTGCCGTCACTGCCACTGCCTCCATGGCTGAGCTCCCTCCAGAAGATAAGTAGAGAGAAAAAAAAAAACCTTAAGAAAAATAAATGAGAAAATAAGAAAGAAAAGCAGTTGGAGTAGGCAAGCTCCAGCTCAGGAGCCCTACTCTGCCATCATCTTGGATTCACATGCACGTTCTTTACACTCGAACCACTTCTTATCTATCGCAAATCCCTTTAGTAAAGTTCCCCAATCACGCCTCATACCTTCGTCTTTCCCTTTATTTAGATTCAAGACCTTAGTTTTGGATTTGATTACTTCATTCTCCATCTTAATGAAGAATTTTCTCATGTTATGATCACTCTTCCCCGCAGGACCCTGCACAACAAGATTGTTAATTAATACTTTTTCACTGCATCATACCTAGTCTGGTACAGCCTTTTCTCTGATTGGTTCCTCAATGTTTTGGTCTAAAAATACCATCACGTACACACTCCATGAAATCCTCCTCTGCAATGCCATTGTGAGGTTTGTTTGTCCAATGTATATTTAACTAAAATCACCCATGATTACAGTTGTAACCTTATTGCATGCTCCTCTGATTTCCTGTTTAATGCCTTCCCTTGCATTTCCACCACTGTTTGTTGGCTAAACTCATTAAACTCCTTTAATCATCTGAAAAATTTCAACTTGATTATTCCTCAATCCTCTATACTTGAGGGAGTATCAGGCCAGTCTATTCTAACCTACCTTTGGAATTTGACCCTTTTTGTAATGATATCAGCCTGATGAATCTGTGAGGCATCTGTTCTAAGGCCATTATGTATAGCGCTCGGAACTGAACACAGTACTCTGACTAAGATTATGTATATCTGTACCATAACTTTTAACTCTTTGTCTTTTAGCCTTCTTGATGTGAAGACCCACATTCCATTAATTTATGAATTATTACTTGGATTTAGGACAGGATAACTAACTGATTGTCTTTACCTCTACAACACAGGCAGTTGTTGATAGACATCAGCGAAAATCTCTCTCAAGAAGATTTGCAATCTATTTTCTTTTTATTACGTTGCCAAGTACCAAAAGGCCACCAGGAAGCAATGAAGGTAATTTCAATATGTTAGTTCCCATTCTGTTCCGGGCTCAAGTCCATTGATTATGGATGCAGCCTGCCATTTGTGCACAGGGAGGTTAATCTGGTGTGTACCAGCTCCATCCATTACAATGAAATGAGGTTAACTGAGTTCTGAGGAAGGGTCACCGGATGAAACGTTAACTCTGATTTTTTGATCACAGGTGCTGCCAGACCTGCTGAGCTTTTCCAGCAACTTCTGTTTTTGTTCCTGATTTACAGCATCCGCAGTTGTTTTGGCTGTTCACTGCAGCTTCCCTTCATTAACAAAACAGAAGGGTTTTATCTTTTTTTAAATTCCATATCACAGGACAAGAGATTGCATCTCAAGAGCACCTTAACATCATTCCAGATGAGCCACAATCATACTTACTGGATAGATGAGTACTGTAGCCATTTTGGTACACAGAAAAAGAATGTATTGCAATAATTGGTTGTGTGGTCTGCACCACAGAAAGCTCTTGTTTTATTGACTAGCTTCCTAGATGGCACCATTTGAAAAGTCTTTCAAAATCCATATATAAAGAATATTCATCACATTATCATTTTCTATGTAATCCCTCACTTTGCTAATTTTATATCCAGCATTTGCTTCCCCATTTGTTAGATTAAAAATATCTTGATCAAGAGAGCCAGCTGAGCACAATTCCTTTCTCACAGGAAACTTTCTCTATCCTTCCTCTTCCATATCTCATTGTTTTTTTCTCATCACTCCCTCCCTTTGTAGTAGTTTTCTAAAATTAGTATTGTAAGAATCTGGGCATCTCTGTCCCGTCACTGCCCATCACTAATTGCCCTCGAGAATGTGATGGTGAGATGCTTTCTTGAACTGCTGCAGTGCCTGTGGAGTGCTGTTAGGGAGGAAATTCCAGGATTTTGATCCAGTGACAGTGAAGGAACAGCAGTATAGTTCCAAGTCAGGTTGGTATGTGACCTTGTGGGTGGTGATGTTCCTGTGTCTTTGATCTTCCAGCAGGTGAAGATCACAGGTTTGGAAGGTGCTGTCAAAGGAGCCTTGTTAGGTTGCTGCAGTACATCCTGTAGATGGTGCACACTGCTGCCAACATGTGTTGGTGGTAGACAGACTGATTGTTTAAGGTGGCAGATGGTGTGCTAAACAAGCGGGCTGCTTTGTCTTGAATTATGCATTGTAGGGATTCAGTGGAGAAGGCATGAGAGGCCATACTGTTTGAACAAAATGCTGAAACACAATTATTTATTACATGGAATGTGCAGCACAAAAATAGATTATTCGGTCCAACAGCTCCATGCTAGTGTCTTTGCTTCACGTGCATTTCCTCCCACTTTACTTCATTCTCACTCTATCAACATAATCTTCTCTTCCTTTCACCCTCATGTTCATATCAAGCTTCCTCTTAAATGCATCAATACTGTTTTCCTCAATAGGAATTAGATTATTCAGAAGAACATAAGAAAGACTGACTTTCTACATCAAATCTACTTTCCCAACCTATTCTCATATCCCTTAATTCCCCTAAAGCCCAAAAAGTTTTCAGTCCCAATCTTGAACATATTCATTGACTGAGCAGCCATGGACCTCTGGGGCAGGGAATTCAAAGAAAAATGCCAATCCTCTGAGGGAAAAAGCCTCTCATTTCAGCTCTAAATGGCTGACTTTGTGTTTGAGACTGTGATATCCTCTCAGTCCCTATCTTGTCAGTCCATCTCAGAATTCTGTTTGTTTCAATTAATTCCTTTGAACTCCAGAGAGTTTAGGCCTGTTCTATTTAACTTGTCCAAATAGGACAGACTTTTCCTCTCATAAGTGGGTTATATTTTGAGTAAGTTCCCTTTTGTCTGCCAGCCAGATTGAGATCTGTTAGTGAGCTAACAAAGGCTTTTTATCTGTTAGACCTTCTTAGATTTAATTGTCGAACTGGAGAAACTTGACAAGGTTGATGCGAATAATTTGGAACTGGTGGAAGATTGTCTAAAGACCATTGGGAGAATAGATCTGAGAAAGAAGGTCTCTAAGTACAAACAAATGGGTGAGTGTGAACAAACAAAGAGGATTGGACAGACAAAGGAGAATTACACACAGAGAGGGGAAATTAGTTATAAAGGTTAGACAGAGTTAACGTTTATTGCTGGCATTATAATGGTTAAAGGAATTATAGTTTATTTCAGGAGCTGGATTGGTTAGACAGAGTTACAGTTTACTCCAGGGGTTATCTGATAAGTCTGACTGAATTTTTAAGAAATGACTAAAGCAGAGGAGGAGAAAATATCTGTGGATATTATTTGCACATATTTCCAGAAGACATTCAATAAAGCAGTTAAAAGATTTTGCTACTTGAAGCTGTAACTTGTGGAATTGCTGGTGAATCATTGATCCGATTAGGAGAGACAGAGATTAGGGTGTATGACTCCCAGTATCCCGCAAGGAGCTTTCAACTAATCACCGTGTTTATTACATGAATGACAGAAAGCCGCACTGTTAGCTGTGTGGATGGAAGGGGAAAAGTTACAAGGACGTATTGGTTGATTACTTGAAGGATCAAAATTGTGGCAGATAGATTTAAATGTACGCAAATGCAAGGTCAACCGCAATGGACTTAAAAAGGATAGAACAAGGTGCTAATTAAATGAAAAGCTAGAAAGAGTGAAGATCCAGAGACTTTAGGGGTAGGGGCTGGGAAAAAGTGGAGGGTGTGATCTCTGTGTATATACACCTTTAAAATGACCTGAACGAGTATGGAAAATAATCAAAGCCTAATGGAATGCTGGCCTTTCTATCTAAAGGACTAGAATACAAGGAAATAGAAGATAAGCTTCAGCCAAGCAGAGTCTAGTTAGACCACACCTCATGTTACTGTGAGGATTTCTGGGCACCACACCTTAGGAAGGATAGGTTGTTTCTGGAGGGAGAGCAGTGTAGGTTTAATAGAATGCTACCTGGCCTCCAAAGGATGAATCCTGAGTGTACATTACACAAACTGGTGTTATATTCCTGAAATTTAAACAGTTAAGGTCTTATTTGATTGGCATTTTCAAGTTATTAAAGGAATGGTAGACCAGATAGCTCTATTAGGTGGGCGGTCTAGGACAAGAGGCTTAATTAAAACACAAGAGCCAAATCTGTCAGGAGTGAAATTAAGAATCATGAGAGTTTTGGAACTCCTTTTTTTGCAAATATCAGTTAAATCAAAGTCTTGATGACAAACTTTACCAGTCATCTTAGGTTTAAAGTTAAAGGTTTTTAATGGAATGGGAAAAAGGTGAGGGAAGATGGTGCAGAGTTAGGTTGTAGGTTGGTGAGGACTCACTGATTGGTAGAACAGGTTTAGGGGACTAAATTACTTATCTCATATTTCTGGTTAGATTGTTTAGAGAGGTACAGGTTGTTGCATAGGTCAGATTGTTAACAGGTTTTTAGAGGTAATTATAGTATTAATAATATAACTTTTGTATTGTCTGTCTCTTCCCATTCTCAGCTCTGGGAGTTCATTCCATGCAAAATTCCACTGCATATCAGAATGTTGTCCCAATCGCTGCTCCCTGTCAAGAGCAGGGTTCTGGCCGTGAGCAGTTTGAACAAAATCAGGTAGGTATTTCTAACAGTTATGAATAGTCATCCACCAGCAGAGCTTTAGAAATTTTCTTAAATAAATGATCACCTTTATAGCTTCCCAGCAGTATCCTTGTACCTCTTTGTTGTATATTACATTTTGACCTGCCTTCCATAATTGAGAAGATCTATTATATCAGAACCAGCACTCTCGAATTAGTATCTGAGCTGTTCATGTTGTGTGTGGTTAACCAGGGAGGGTTTTTCCTTTGTACATGTGTTGTGTGTGTTTGTGTTTGTTGCGGGGTGGAAGTTAGGTGGTGCGGTCAGAGAGGTGCACGTCTTAACAGTGGGGAGTGCACGTGTTCAGTGGGGGTTGTTTTCCACGCAGGGCAGCGTCAGTGGAGGTACAAGCAACGTGCAGCTCTATGTGTGCTTGCATCTGCCCACACTGACCCCGTACATACCTGCAAACGTACACATACCCCCATTGACGTGCACACCTGTCTATTTACCATGCCACAGGCCATACACCCTGCAAACATACACCCACAACCTTTACGTGCAGACCTGCTGATCTTGTGCATTTGCTTGGCCACCCCTCCACCGCTGATCTTACATGTGTATTTGCAACCATATGCCCTTGTTGACTCACTGTGTGCATGCAGACATACACCATCGCTATCCTGTGCCACACTCCATACACGCTGTCCTGTGCCACACTCCATACACTGCATATCCTTCCCTACATTCAAGGCCCAAAACTACTCACAATATTCCAAATGTGGTTTGACTAGACCCCTATACAGCCTCAGCAGCACATCCTTGCATTTGTATTCTAGCATTCTTGAAATGAATGCTAACCTTGCCTTCCTAATTGCCAACTAAAGAGATTCCATAACTAGGACAGACTTTATACTTCCAATTTCCGAAGCCCGCCCTTTTTTAGAAAATAATCCACGCCTCTATTCTTCCCATCAAAGTACATAACCTGACATTTTCCCACATTGTATTCTATCTGTCACTTCTTTGCCCACTCTCCTAGCCTGCCTAAGTCCTTCAGCACTCTCCCTGCTTCTTCAACACTATCTGTCCCTCCACCAATAAATATATCGTCTACACACTTGGCAACAATACCCTCAGTTCCTTCATCCAGGACCAACTTCGAAGGTTGTGAGGCTGGAATATGTTGCAGTGGTAGACTGGACAAGGCCATGAAGACCTTTGAAAAGTCAGGATGGGAATTTTAAAGTCAAAGTGTTGTTTGACCTGAAGTGAATGTTGTTCAGTGAGTACAAGGGTGATGGGGAAAAGGACTTAGTGTGAATTAAGATATGGGGAGCAGACTTCTCGCTATTTATGGAAGGCTGGTGGTGGGAGCTGAGCCAGGAGTGTATTGGAATAATTAAGTCTTGAAAAGATTTCATATTACAGAAGCAGAGGTGCTGGAGGTCTTAAAACGCATAAAGGTAGATAAATCCCCAGGACCTGAGCAGGTATTTCCCAGAACTTTGTGGGAAGCTAGGGAAGAGATTGTTGGGCACCTTGCCGGGATATTTGTATCCTTGATGACTGAAGAGTCTGTTTCCGTGCTATATGATTCTATGACTCTTATCAGTCTAGCAATGCAGGCAAGACGGAGGTTAGCAGGCTGCGCTTGAGTTCATGCACTAATGCCATCTTTGTTAATATCATTAGGATCTGGAAGTCAGTCGATCTCGAACATACTCTTTGAGTGACCTTCCACAGTTCTCTGGGGTGGAGAATTCCAAAGATTCACCAACCTCTGAGTCAAGAGATTCCCCTTAGCTCAGTCCTAAATGGCCTGCCCGTTATTCTGAGATTCTTTCTCCTAGCTCTAGACCCTGCTTCCAAGTTAAAGAAAACGTTTTTCATGTATCGACCCTGTTTAGTTTTATAAGAATTTTGTAAGTTTCAATGCAATTACCTTCCACTCTTGTAAACACCAGCAATTACAGATCCAGTTTCTGCTCTCTCTCCACATTGAACAGTCCCACCATCCAAGGAATTAATCTGATAATCTTCACCCATGCTCCTTCCGTGGCATCTTTCCTTAGGTAAGGGGACCAGAACTGCACAGAATACTCCAGGTGTAGTCTTACCCAGATTCAGTACAATTGAAACCAGACATCTGGCTGGTCTCCCACCTTCAACCTTCCATAAACTTCAGGTCAGCCAAAAATCTGCTCCCCAAATTTTAACTCAGTACGTCCTGCTCCTCTATCACGCTTGTACTGAAATCCACTTATGATAAAGGTCAATATACTGCTTGACCTCCTAATTGCTTGCTGCGCTTGTATGCCAGCTTTCAGTGCTTTATAAACAATGGCACAGGTCCCTTTGGAGATCAACACTTGCCAATCTCTCACCATGTAGACATACGTTGCATCTCTGTTCTTCGTATCAAAGTGAACAACCTTACGTTTATCCAGAGCAGCTGCTCCCCCTGGTTGAGGGGTCAGTCACGAGAGGGCATAGTTTTTGGGTAAGGGACAGGAGATTCACGGGATTTGGAGAGAAAAAACAACCTTTTCACTCCGGCGGTTGGTGGGAATCTGGAATGCACTTCCTGGGAAGGTAGTGGAAGTTACAACATTTAAAAAATATTTGGATGAGCACTTCTATTATCATAACATTCACGGATATGGGACAAATGCAGGAAATTGGGATTAGTGCACCTTTAGTGGTAGTTATGTCGGTGTAGACTTGATGGGCCGAAAGGCCTTTTATGCGCTGTATGAATCTATCGCTCCTGTTCTTACCCATGCATTCAGCCTGTCCAAATCTCTCTTCAGCCTATTTGCATCCCCACCTAGTTTCATGCACAAATTTGGAAATATTACATTTGTGAGGTGAGAGTGTGTGTGAGAGGTTAAGTGGGGGTTTGTGTGTGGTTTTCTGGTTTTGTTTGAAACTTTACGTTCCCGTTACTCTTACCCAACTTTCAGCAGGTGAGCAATTGGATGCCAGCATCTGCAAGCTGTAACGCCGGTCAGTTATTGAGACAACATGTTCACTCAAACTGTCCAACATCATTAGTGGCCTCATGTAAGTAATACAGCTGAATTTTGGATACTCACCTCTGTATCTAGTCTGTGGGAATAGTCACCTTCTAGTGTTATAGCTGAATCCTGCTTCAGGTAGAATTTGCAACTTGGAGGGTTGTGTCCTAAACAAGCATTACAAAGAACATGCACAACTTTTGTTTTTATATACTGTGGGTTATTTTTGGGGAAGCTCTTGTATTCTAACTGTATTTTGAGCACGGTCCCATCTAAATGCCAATAACAGCGGTGGTTAAATGAAGTAATTTCAACACAGAACATTGCTCAGCACCTGAAACGGGGGAGAATACCTGCCATTTCAGGTAGGAGCCCTGAGTGAAGCTACAGACTTACCCAGTCTTTGGTGACTTGTTCAGTAGCCACTGCGGTTAACCACTGTCGCCTCTAATACTGAAACAGAGTCTCCCCCAAAACCTTTGTGTTCTTATTGCACGCGGTCTCAATGTATTCTTTACTGGCAGTGGTTGTTGTTGACAGAAGGTTTAGTTTTAGTTACAGAGTAAGATCAGCTGCCTCACTCACCATTGCTACTTTTCCTCAATAGTTGAAGAGCAACAATCAGAGTCAATGATTAACCCAACAGTTGAGTTTGTCCAGCCTCCTGCAGCGGCGAGTGCAGCACTACAGGTAAGAGCTGAAGCACGTTGATGGAAGGAGGGGTCATTATTGTTAGGAGGTGCTGGTGGGGAGGCTGTTGGCGATCAAACATTGGGATAAAGGTAAAATGCAGTGTCTGCGTGCAGTGGAAATATTGAGTGGGGAAAGGATGGTCAGACAAGAGAAGGATGAGTGTGTTGACAGGATAGCGGCAAGGGACAGCTGGCCCGGTACAGAGAGCACAATTCCAACTGCAACCACTGTTGGCTGGTTGTATGAAGAGTGGATTACCAGCAAGCAACCCACTGAGACTCCTCTCAGTTCCTGAAGTCTGAAGCTGCGTGCCTTGAGGTAGCAAGTTTGCTTCATAATCCTTCCTCAGTTAGAGAAAGAATCTGAGAATGGTGGGGAATAGTGCTGGATACCTCACCTCCCCAAGCCCCCTCCTGTCCACCTCCCCACCTGCACTCGCACCACTGCTTGAGCAGCTATCTCACTCCATAGATGTTTGACGATAGCAAGGATGAAGAAAGACCTCAAGGGAATCTGAGATGATAACTCACGGCCAAACCACAACTAGTGATTCATGATGTCCCTATTTAAACCTCGTGCTGTGCTGCAGGTAACTGAGTCCATACCAGCCAATCAGCTTTGTCATCTGTTCTCCATTATGACACTGCAGAGTTGGCTCAGTGCTCTCACCTTCTCAAAGGGGACAGTAGCAACGTGGAAACAAAATTGAATGAGTAACAGGAAATAATGTTGTGATGAATGATTGTGTTTTGGGCTGGGGATCATTGAGGTCTCCAGGGGTCAGAATGAGCGCTGGAAGCCCTGCCCTTCGTGATATATACTAATGGTCTAGACCTTTGTGTACGGAGAACATAGTTTCAATATTTGCTGTTGGCAAATTGGAAGCAGTGTAAACAATGGAGGATGCTGTAGAACTTCAAATGAGCATAGACCAATTGGTAGAACGGGCAAACAGGTGGCAGATAATATTCAATGCAGAGAAGTGTGAAGTAATTCATTTTGGTTGGAAGAACATGGACAGACAGTCTAAACTAAAGTGTACAACTCTACAGGGAGTGCAGAAGCAGAGAAATCCATGTCTTTATGTGTGTAAGCCACAAAAAGTGGCAGAGCAGTTAGAGAGAACAGTTAAGAAAGCATATAATATTGCAGACTTTAATAATAGTGGCATGGGGAACGGGAACAAGGAGATTCTGTTCAAATTGTATAAAATACTGGCCCAGCCTTAACTAGAGTACTGTGTCCAATTCTGGGCACTACACTTTGGGAAGGATGTGAAAGCATTGGAGAGAATGCAGAAAAGATCCACAAGATGCTGTTCCAGGGATGAGGATATTTTGGAAAATTTGAGATTATTTTCCTTGGAGGAGAAAAGGAGGTTGAGAGGAGATTTGATAAATATTCAAAATGATGGTTCTGGACAGCATAGATGTTCCCATTCATGAAAAAATAAAGAAGGTTGGGGATTGTGGTGGTGCGGAACAGATTAAAGCTAATTGGCAAACAAAGCAATGAAGACACGAGAAAAACTTTTAAGCAGCGCGAGGTTGGATTCTGGAATGACTGCCTGGGAGTTTGGTGGAAGCACATCCATTTGAAGCATTGAAAGACAATTAAATTATTGTATGAAAAGGAAGAATGTGCAGGGTAATGTGGAGAAGATGGGAGAGTGGCTCTGTGAGCGTTGTTCATTCAGGAAGTCAGCGCAGACATGATGGACCAAATGGCCTCCTCCATTCTATAACTATTTTGAGAGCCCTGACCTTTAAATGTAGCATTCTTATCTCTGAGCCAGAAGGTTTGTGGCCTCGAGCACCATTCCCAAATTCTTAAATTCAGGTACTAGCCTGATGCTTCCTAGTGCTGGGACTGAGGGAGTGCTTCCATTTTGGGGGTGGCATCTTTCAGTTGAGATATTAACTAAAGGCCCTGCCTGATCTCACAACAGAATTTAGAGTAGAGCAGGGGAGTCCTTTTTCTTTATTCGTGTATGGGATTTAAGTGTCACCAACAAGGCCAGCATTTGGGTCCCATCCCTAATTGCCTTGAATTGAGTCACTTGCCTGACCAATTCAGAAGGCATTCAAGAGTCAACCACATTTCTGTGGGTCTGAAGTCACATGTAGGCCAGACCGAGTAAATGTGGAAGGTTTCCTCCCTAAAGGATATAAGTGAGGCACATCGTTTTTTATGACAATTATCAGTAGAGGCCATTAAGCCATCTTTTAATCCCAAGCTTTAGTCCGCAAGATCATAAGATAAAGGAGCAGAATTAGGCCATTCGGCCCACCGGGTCTGCACTGCTATTCAATCATGATTGATATGTTTCTCAACCTCATTCTCCTGTCTTCTCCCTGTAACCTTTGAACCCCTTACTAATCAAAACCTGCCTACCTATGTCTTAAATACATTGATTGACTTGGCCTGCACAGCCTTCTGTGGCAATGAGTGCTACAGATTCACCATCCTCTGGCTGAAGAAATACTGCCTCATCTCCGTTTTAAAGAGTCATCTCTTCACTCTGAGGCTGTGCCCTCAGGTCCTAGTCCCACCTACCATTGTAAATATCTTCTCCATGTCCACTCTATCCAAACCTTTCAATATTCAGGTTTCAATGAGATTTCTTCATCCTTCTAAATTCCATCAAATACAGGTCCAGAGTTCTCAATCACTCCTCATATGACAAGCCCTTCATTCCTGGGATCATTTTTGTAAACCTCCTCTGGAACCCCACTAAGGCCAGCACTTCCTTCTTTAGATATGGGGTCTGGAACTGCTCACAGTATTTGAAATACAGTCTGACCAGAGTCTTTTATAGCCTCAGTTGTGTAGTTCTGCCCTTTTCTTCTAGCCCTCTTGATATGAATGCTATCATTGCTTTTCCCTTCCTAACTGCCAATTGAATCCACATGTTAACGTTAAGACAATCTGGAATTAGGACTACTAAGTTAATTTGTGTTTCAGATTTCCGAAGTCTTTCCCTGTTTAGAAAATAGTCTATGCCTCTATTCTTCCCACAATAACCCCCGCGGAACTCCACTAATCACCGACTGGCATCTTGAAAAAGACCTCTTTATTCCTTCTCTCTTCCTTCTGCCAGTCAGCCAATCCTATATCCATGCCAGTACCTTGCCCCTATCAACATGGGCTGTTATCTTATTTAGCAGCCTCCGGTGTGGAAATCCAAATAAATCATGTCCACTGGCTCTACTTTGTCTAACTTGCTCATTCCCTCCTCAAAGAATTCTAACAGATTTGTCAGGCATGACTTTCCCTTGACAAAGCTGTGCTGACTCAGCCCTATTTCACCATGTGCCTCCAAGTACTCACCAATCTCATCCTCAATAATGGACTCTAAATGTTGCCAATGACTGAGGTCAGGCTAACCAGCCTATAGTTCCCTGTCTTCTGCCTCCCGCCTTTCTTAAACAAATCTGTTACATTAGCCATTTTCCAGTCCTCGGGGACCCTTTCTGACTCCAGTGATTCCTGTAAGATCACGCCTCCACAATCTCCTCAATTATCTCCTTCTGGGTGTAGTCCATCTGGTCTGAGTGATTTATCCACCTTCAGGTCTTTCAGCTTCCCTAGCCCCTTCTCCTTAGTGATGGCCATTGCACTCACCTCTATCCCTCTTTTTTTTTGAAGTTTTGGAATGCTGCTTCTGTCTTCCACTGTGAAAACTGATGCAAGGTACCTATCCAGTTCCTCTGCCATTTCTTTGTTCCACATTACTACTTCTCCAGCCTCATTTTCCAGTGGTTCAATGTCCGCTCTTGCCTCTCTGTTACCTTTTATCTATCTATAAGGACTGTTGCAATCTTTTTATATTATGAGTTACCTTACCCTCATATTTCATCTTCTCCACACTTATTGCTTTTTTAGTTGTCTTCTGCTGATTTTTAAAGGGTTCCCAGTAATCTTCACCATATTGTATGCTTTCTCTTTAGCTTTTATGCTGTCCCTGCCTTCCCTTGTCAGCTTCATCTTCCTCTTTGTATGTTTCTTCTGCCTTGGGATGAATTTCTGCTGTGCCTCCTGCCATTGCTGCTCTACCATCTTCCCTTCCAACTCTAGCTAGCTCCTCCATTATGGTCTTTCTATTTACCTTTACTTAATCGTAATACCTGATTACATCTGATTTAAGCTTCTCCCTCTCAAACTGCAGGGTGAATTATTTAATATTATGGCTGCTGCCCCCTAGGGGTTCCTTCACCTTAAGATCTTCAAACAAGTCTGCCTCATTGCACATCACCAAGCCAAGAATTGCCCATTCCCTCGTGGGTTCTACCACAACCTGCTCCAAAAAGCCATCTGGTAGACATCCCACAAATTCCTTTTCTTGGGATCTGCTACCAACATAATTTTTGCAGTCCACCTGCATATTGAAGTTCCCATTGATTATTGTAATAGTGCTTTTTTTATCTCCTGATTTATTTTCTGCCCCATTCAATTCAAGTTCAGATTTCAGCATCTGCCATCATGGGATTTCAATGTTTGTGCCTAGACCATTAGCGTGGGGTTCTGGATTAATAGTATAGTGACAAAGCTGCTATGCCAACACCTCCCTTTTCCTGCCAACTGTCCTGATCAAGATTTATCCTTCAACCATCATCAGTAAAACAGATTATCTGGTTATTTATCTCCCTGTGATTTGAGAGAGCTCAAAATCCTCACAACAGTGACGGCTGTGAAACACTTCCTGATATTGTGAAAGGTGTGATATAAATGCAAAATCATTCATTGTAACGTTGTGTTCTGTGTTACAGAATGGGTTGGAGGTGTACAGGGTACAGAGTAGACCCCTCGGTCTCTGTTTAATCATCGATTGTATTGGAACTGATGCAGGTAAGATGTTGTTAACCTGGGCTGTGGGGAAACCCAGTCAGTCTGTAGGGGACACTCAGTGAAGTTGGTGACGGGTGACTGATTGACTGTGTAATCTCACCAACCATCAGTTCTTCCCCACGTTCTGCAACATAATCAGCTGATCCCAAATGCTTCAGATTGCAAGAACGTTGGGGGTTAAGAGCAGCACTTTGAGAATGAGGGTTCAGATATACCATGATAGGTGCTGGGCCAAAGTCAAGGGAATCGAATTTGAAACCATCTCTTAGACGCAAAAGATAAATTAACTTCTTTTCTGTGGCTCTGAGGGAACAGTTGTCTTAATGACTGAGGATCTCCTCTATTGGTGATTGCTTAAGTATTGTTGAATTAGCTCTATTCTCTATGAATTACCCCTTTCCCTGTGGTTACCTGCTTACCCTGTTTTATCCCTATTCCATCCCTATTCCTTAATTTGTATTAAATTAAACTCACCTCATTCATAGTGTTTTCTCCTCATTAACAAAAACTGCAATTGCTGGTGAAGCACAGCATTTCTGACGGTATAGGTGGAGGGAGAAACAAAGTTAACATCTCAGATCCAATGTGACACTTCTTTGGAACTGAAGGGGACCTGAAAGGTGATGGGTTCAGTGCTGTAGGAAAAGTGGCAATGAAAGTGAACAAGATTCAAACCGTATTGACTCTATTGTCTCACTCTCGGATGGTTTCTCCAGATTTACTGAAGGAAACGTTTGAGGTTCTCCGGTTCCAAGTCGTCACCCACTTGTACGTCGAGCTGGACAGTCTGAAGCAGATCCTGCAGGAAACCTCCCAGCGCGAGGACCTGGCCACGCTCGACTGTTTTGTGTGTTGCATCGTGAGCCGGGGGATGACAGGGAGCATCCTGGCCATCAATGGACAAAGACCTGGCCTCTTGTTTGAAGAAATCCAGCAGTATTTCAAAGGAATGAGCTGTCGGGCCCTGGTGGGGAAGCCCAGGCTTTTTTTCGTTCAGAATTTCCTCGCGGCCACGCCTGACCCTGACGAGGGTTTAGAGACTGATGCTGCTCAGGGTAACAGAGAGGCGGTTCAGGCTGATGGTCGTGCCTGGGAGGAAGTAATCCCACAGGAAGCAGACATCCTGTGGTGTTGCTGCAGGGTGTCTGAGCATCTGATCTTCCAGGCGGGCCAACAACCATCATCTTTTATGCGCACGCTGTCGGAGTGTCTACGGGAACACCGCAGGTAAGTACTGGGGAGGCATCAGGTAAACCCAGAGCCTCCTCCACAGATTTCCCCAGAGCCTCCTCCACAGGTGAACCTGCAGAATTCTGACCACTCCTCCTTCTGTGTTCAGACCCAACCTCTGATTTACCTTGGCGATTGTTTCTTTCCCCCCTGCCATATGATAAACAAGGGATTGAATGTAATCAACCACCCACCAGGATCAATAGAAATGGGTCAGGTGGTTAATTGCACAGTGTCTACTCTTTAGGTATTACCAGAAAATGCTGGCATCCATGGTGAGTTGATAAACTGGATACAAGATTGTCTTGGCCATAGAAGACAGAGAGTAGTTGAGGAAGAGTGTTTTTTTCCTGGCTGGAGGTCTGTAACCAGTGATGTTTTGCAAGGATCAGTGCTGGAACCTCTGTTCTTTGTAATATATATATAAAAATGAGTTGGGTGAAAATATAGGTGGCCTGATTAGTAAATTTTCAGACAATTGGCAGAGTTGTGGATAGTGAGGAACGTTGCGAAAGGATACAGCAGGATATAGATCACTTGGAAAATTGGGAGGAGAAATGGCAGACGCAGTTTAATCTGGACAAGTGTGGGGTCATGTATTTTGGGAGGTCAAATGCAAGAGGGAAAGTATATAGTAAATGGCATTTGGTGCATTAATATACAGCGGGATCTTGGGGTGCAAGTCCATAACTTCCTGAACGTGGCAACACAAGTGGATAAGGTGGTAAAGAACATGTACAGCATGCGTGACTTCCTTGGTCAGGGCATTGTGTATAAAACTGGGCAAGTCATGTTGCAGCTATATAATTCTTTAGTTATGCTACATTAGTGTATTGTGTGCAGGCCTGGTTGCCGCACCATAGGAAGGACGTGGAGGCTTTGGAGAGCATGCAGAAGAGGTTTACCAGGATATTGCCTCTATTGGAATGTATTTATTTTCTATTCATTTGTGGGACATGGGCGTTGCTGGCTGGCCAACATTTCTTGCCCATCCATAGTTGCCCTTGAGAAGGTGGTGGTGAGCAGCCTTCATGAACTGTTGCAGTCCTCCTGCTGTGGGTTGACCACAATGCCATTAGGAAGGGAATTCCAGGATTTTGACCCAGCGACAGTGAAGGAGCGGTGATTTATTTCCAAGTCAGGATGGTGAGTGACTTGGAGGGGAACTTGGAGGTGGTGGTGTTCCCATATTTCTGATGCCCTTGTCCTTCTAGATGGAAGTGGTCGTGGGTTTGGAAGGTGCTGTCTGAGGATCTTTGGTGAATTTCTTGCAGTGCATCTTGTAGATAGTACACTCTGCTGCTGCTGAGATTCAGTGATGAAGGGAGTAGATGCTTGTGGATGCAGTGCCAATCAAGCAGGCTGCTTTGTCCTGGATGGTGTCAAGCTTCTTGAATGTTGTTGGGGCTGCACTCAGCCAGTGGGGGTATTCCATCACGCTCTTGACTTGTGCCTTGTAGATGGTGGACAGACTCTGAGGAGCCAGGAGGTGAGTTACTTGCCTCAGTATTCCTAGCTTCTGGCCTGCTCTTGTAGCCATTGTGTTAATGTGGTGAGTCTAGTTGAGTTTTTGGTTAATGGTAACCACCAGGATGTTGATAGTGGGGAATTCAGTGATGGTAACACCATTGGATGTCAAGGGACGGTGGTTAGATTATCTTTTATTGTCTGTTATAAGTATTAGCTATAAGGAGAGGTTGGACAAACTTGGATTGTTTTCACTGGAGTGTCAGAGGCCAAGGGGCAACATGATCCAAGTATATAAATCATGAGAGGCACGGATAGGGTGGATAGTCAGAGTCTTTTCTCCTAGGGTGGAAATGTCAAATACTTGGGGCATAGAATCATATGAGTGTGGAAGCCGGGCCATTTGGCCCATCGAGTCCAGCCAAAGAATATCCCACCCAGACCCACCCAATCTCTGTAACCCTGCATTCCCCATGGCTAATCCATCTAACCTACGCATACCTGGAGATAGTGGGCAATTTAGCGTGGCCAGTCCACCTAACCTGCAGATCTTTGCACTGTGCGAGGAAACCAGAGCACCCAGAGGAAACCCATGCAGACATGGAATGTGCAAACTCCACACAGACAGAAGCCTGAGCGTGGAATCGAACCCAGGTCCCTGGCGCTGTGAGACAATAGTTCTAACCACTGAGCCACCATAGGTTTAAGGTGAGAGGGGAAAGTTTAAGAGAGATGTGTGAGGAAAGCTTTTTACACAGAGGGTGGTAGGTGTCTGGAACCTGCTGCCAGGGGTGGTGGTAGAAGCAGATATGTTAGCAACGTTTAAGTGACATTTAAACAGACACATGAACAGGCAGAGAATAGAGGGATATGGACCATGTGCAGGCAGACGGGAATTAGTTTAGAATACCTTCATGGTTGACACAGACATGAAGGGCCTGTGCTGTACTGTTCTATGTTCTATGTAAGGAGTTGAAGAGCAAAGTCAACAAAGGAGCAGGAATGGAGCAGGCCATTCGTTCCTTCCAGCCTCTTCTGCTATTCAGTGACACAGCAGTAAAAATGAGTATCAGAATCTTTTGCTTTACTAGCAAGGAAACAAAGTACAAAAGACAGGAAGTTGTGTTAAACTTCTAGAGAACACCGATCAGGCCTGAACTGGAAGATTGAGTCCATATCTAGGCACCAAACTTCAAGAAAGATGTGAAGGTGTTTGAGAGGATGCCGAGGAGATTTATTCTGTTTAGCAGTGTGTGATTCAGGTGTTTGTGGAATGAATGTCAGTTCATATTTTAAATGTTTCCTCTCTTTCTCTCCATCTAGGAGTGATTTGATATCGATGCTAACAGAGGTGAACAGACAAACAATGCTGCGAAACCGTCTACTGGCTTCTGAGGAGCCTGTACCTCTGGTCCTCTGCCACACCCTGAGGAAAAAACTCATCTTGCCCTGAGGGGGCGCCCCCTCACCACTACCACATTAAACATGTCAGGAAACTGGGCAACCACAACATGAAACCAGCTTCACCCACCACGCAAGCAATCTCTGAACACTGGGGCCTGGGTACCTAAAGAAACAAGGCTTGATGCATGGGCTTAGTCAGGAGAAGAGAATTAAATCCACTCAAAGATTCAGTCATGGGTGGCAGGGGTCCAGGCCAAAGTGGAAGGATTGAGGTGGTGAGGGACCAAAGTTGAGGGATTAAGACAGGGAGATCGAGCCTGTAGTACATACAGGGAGCTAAACTGGGACAGAGAGATCACGACAAGAGTGGAAGGTTTGAGGTATTTAAAGGAGGCAACAAAGGATCCAGACAGGCAGAGGGATCCAGACTCAGAAGGAGTAAATTGGGAGAGATCTATGCTGGGTAGAGCGAGTAAAGCAAGGAAGTATAGAGACAGCTAGATTAGGAATCAAGGAAGGGAGGGATTAAGGAATGAAGTGTGAGCCATCAAGCCTAGAATGCTGTATGACGCTACATCAATTAGTGAAATTGTTTATTCATGTGTTCACTTAGAAGTCTTTTAATTATCACCATCGTAACTGTTCTTCAGTTTTTAGAGTTTTTTCATGTTATTCACTAAGTATCTCAGAGTGTGACTATACATAGTGTAGATAACAAGACATTAGCTTGGAGTACTGGCTGTACTTCTGGTCCATAGTACTCCCACACCTGGTATGAAGTACAGGTCTGCCTATTGCAGTGGCCACATCTGGAGTATATAAGAATATAGGAAAGAGGAGTGGGTCATAAAACCACTTGAGCTTGCTCTGCCATTTAATAAAACCACGACTTACCTTCCACCTACAGCTGCAATGTTACCCTATACACAATATTGATCACTGTATGTTTTAACTTACATCTTTTGTTGAATTAATTTCTAATATATGAATTGTACTATAATATGTTTAATAACAATAAATTGACAGCCCCTGAAATAAAAAAAAAAGCCTAGTTAAATTGACTGCTTTTAAAATATAGGTTGATTTAGTTTGTGGGAAAGGGATCCAAATTTCATCATATCTCTTAATTGCTTTATATCTAAAAAAATTCCATCAATCTTTATCTTGGCAAAAGGCAAAGTCAGAAAAACAGATTGTCTTACGTGCAACTCTAGCAGCCCAGAAGGTAAAACATCAAGAGAAAACTTGGAGAGAAAAAAAAAATTGTAGTAACAGGGAGAGTAGTAGCAGGAGTAGATGGCTGTTTGGGTAAGAAGTTCCAGATTCACAAATTCAGTGAAGAAAGTTCACTTGAGATCAGTCCTCAATAGTTAACTTCACTCTGAGATAGTGATGCACAATGCTGGATATGCAGTCAGTGGAAGTGATATGCAAGAATTTTAAGGAGAGCACCTCTTTCAACTCAAGAAAATATAGATCTAGCCAACTAAATATCTGCTCAGAGACAGCCTACTCTTCCCAGACGTCAATCTAGTAAATCATCATTGATTCTTAAAGCTAGAATATATTTTGTTATGGACCAGGCCAGACCTCCTTAAAATATATCAAGAAGATAGTCTAGACCTTAACTTTTTCTTATTTTAAAGGTAAGTGTAAGATGCTGCATTCCAGATGCAATTCAATTGCACAAACTACCAGATTTGAAGCAAAGTGCACTTTATTCGTAAACTAGTTAAAATACAACAAAAGAAATAAAATAAAACATTGGCTTAGTTGTAACTCCTATCAAAATGCTTAACAAAATAATAGAGTAACTATTACTAATTAACTGTTCCAATATATTAACATCCCATAAACACACCCTTGGCAAAAGGCAAATTCAGAAAAACAGATTGTCTCACGTGCAACTCCAGCAGCCCAGAAGGTAAAACATCAAGAGAAAACTTGGAGGGAAAAAAAATATTGTAGTAGCAGGAATAGTAGTGTAGCAACAGCTGTTACTGAATAGCTAAGAAACTAAAAATCCTGGCTCTGAGAGAGCTTGACCACACTCATTTAGGCTGCTTCTATTGTCGCAACTTTATTTTTAAAAAAAAGAAACCAAGGTCTCACAAGCTGTTTATGACTTTTCAATACATATCTTGGCACCTCTGTCTTAAAACCTCTCCTCAAAAAAAAAACAGAACAAAATAGACCTCTTAAAGCCATAGTATTGTCATAACTGCGTGAGAGTAGATCATAACCTCATACACCGTATTCCAGGTTTGTTCTCTCAAATTAATTGTATAATTGTGGCAAAACTTCCTTATTCCATTCCTTTTGCAATAAAAATGTTTTTTTTTCCTAATTGTTTCCTGTACATACATGTCAATTTTCTATAGTTTGTGCCATCATGTTGATGGAATGAGAACCCTAAATTACTTATGGACATAATGAACTTTTGGACAAGACATTTTTTTAAAAAATCCAAGCCTTCTGACAATATAATTTCTAAAAATGGAATTCTTTGACTGCCAAAAGATCCCCTGTGTGAACTGCTGTGGGCTGTCAGGGAAGCTTCAAGGAGGGAGACTTCGAAATGCAAAAATGCAAGGCAATCTAATTACCAGCAGGAAAACATCTACTGTAGGCTATATTCCATTCTGTGGGTGTGATATACCTGTGATTAATTCTTCCAAGAATATATAAAAAAAGGGTTCATAAACAAACTGCAGTCCTGAGTCTGTATGTGTGTTTGGGTTGATGTGCTGCTGTGGTCTAGTACATTGTGAAGGTCACAGCATGAGAGCAGCCTTTATGCGTGCAAATAAAATAAAAAGACTCTCAGTGTGGAAGCCAAACAGCCACTATCAAAAAGGAAACAGAACAAAATAGTTTCAGGTAACCTGCAGACCCAACGATCTCAAAATGAACTGCTCAACAAGCTCACTGACTATTGAAAACACTAGCTAGGGCTACATGTACTAAAAATAAGGCAGAAGCAGTCTGTCAACACTACCATATTAAAAGTGTTGATGAGGAAATGCAGACTTAGCCACAGATCTGCAGATGAGGAATTGGTAATGATCTACCAGGTAGCAATGCTGCTGAACTATGGTAGGGAAATATTGTGGCTAGTATATTAAATTCCAATAGTTGGATGCAATGGCAACTCAAGCATGCACGAGAAAGCATTTCTACTTACCACAGATCTGTAAGAATGTAGTAAGACCAGCCACACCTGGGAAATCCAAACTGCAATAGGACCTGCAACATATACTATATGTGCTGGCTTTGGGGAACCATTCAGCAAGGTGTTAGTGAACTGTATGGACTCCCTGCCTGAACTAAAATAGTGCTACCAGTATATACTTACCGTTACGGACTACCTGTTTGCAAGAGGTTGTTCCCCCAAAAGGCATATCTGCAAAATCAGTCATGAGGCAATTAACCAAATTTTTCATCTGGTACGATCTGCCCACTGAGATCCAGTTGGATCAGGGCTCAGATTTCAAGGACAAAATATTCTGCTAAGCGGTGGCTAACCTGGGCATGACTCCGCTGAAGATGTCAGTGTATCAATCACAGTCACATGGCACTGGAATGCTCCTCCGGACCCCAAAAACATCGATCAGGACATACGGTTATGGGTATCCCCATGACTGGGTACAGGACTAGATTTTCTGCTGTTTGCCTCCAGGGACTCACCCAACGAATCTATCGATTTTATTCTGTTTGAATTAGTTTAAGGGCATCAAGTGAACGAAATCAATTTGGTCTTGGAATAAAGGCGTTCACAATGAAGAGGATTGTTTTTAACTGACAGGGTTGTGACCAACTGAATGTGGGGCTTGGGGGTAAAGCATGAAAGAGAACCACTTCATCCTCCCTCACCCAGGAGCATCTGATTTTGAGGTAGTCAACATAGAGCCAATACAAATTAGGAAACCCCACCCAGGAACCTATAACAATATGAAGACACCTAAATCCCCTTGATTACCAGCATTTATTCATTTGTTACTTAAAAAGGAATTTTAAAAAAAATTCTTCGTATTAAAGTGGATAATTTCACACTTCCTTGCATCAAACTGTATCTGAAACTTTCTTGTTCACCCACTAACCTATCCAAATATCCTGCATCCTCTCTGTGTGACTTCCCTACCTAGATTTATATTATCAGCAAATTATTTTTTAAATTCATTTGTGGGACATGGGTGTTGCCAGCAGGCCAGCATTTATTTCCTGTCCCTAGGTGCCCTTGACAAGGTGGGAGTCAGCTGCCTTCTTGAATTGCAACAGTCCATGTACTGTAGATAGGCCCACAATGCCGGTAGGGAATTCTAGGATGTTGACCCAGTTACAATGAAGAAACGACAATATATCTGATAATGAGTGCCTTGGAGGGGAATTTGCAGATGGTGGTGGTCCCATATATCTGCTGACCTTGGCCTTTTTAAAAAGAAGTGGTCATGGGTTTGGATGGTGCTGTCTGAAGATCTTTGATTTGATTTATTATTGTCACATGTACTGAGATACAGTGAAAAGTATTTTATTGTGCACTAACCAGATAAATCACACTTTACATAAGTACCTCAGAGTGATAAAACAGAATGCAGAATATTGTGTTATAGCTGCAGAGAAGGCACAGAGAAAATTAAGCTTTAATATATGAGAGGTCCATTCATAAGTCTGATAACAGTAGGGAAGAAGATGTTCTTAAATCTGTTAGTACCTGTATTCAAACTCTTGTATCTTCTGCCCGATGGAAGATAGTGGAAGAGCGTATAACCCTGGTGATTGATTATGTTGGCTGCTTTCCTGAGGCAGCAGGAAATGCAGATGGACTGAATGGAAGGGAGGCTGGTTTTCGCGATGGACTGGGCTGCATTCACAACTCTCTGTAATTTCTTGTGGTCTTGGGCACAGCAGTTGCCATACCAAGCTGTGATGCATCTGGATAGGATGCTTAGTATGGTGCATCTATAAAAATTGGCAAGAGTCATTGTAGACGAGCCTGTTTTCCTTAGCCTTCTGAGAAAGTAGAGGTGTTGATGTCTTTGGTGAATTTCTGTAGTGCATCTTGCAGATAATACACACTGCTGCTACTGAGTGTCAGTGGTGGAGGGAGTGGATGTTTGTGGATGTAGTGCCAATCAATTGGGCTGCTTTGTCCCGGATGGTGTCAAGCTTTTTGAGTGTTGTTGGAGCTGCACTCATTTGGGGAAGTAGGGAGTATTCAATCAGACTCAGGATTTGTGTCTTGTAGATGATGGGCAGCATTGGGGAGGCAGGAATTGAGTGACTTGCTACAGTATTCCAAACTTCTAACCTATTCTAGTAGCTACTGTGTTTATGTGGTGAGTCCAGTTGAGTTTTGAGTCAGTGGTAATCCCCAGAACGTTAATATTGTGGGATTCACTGATAGTAACTCCATTGAACGTCAAAGGACAGTGATTAGATTGTCTCTTATTGGAGATGG